TCCACGAGTCTAATGACTATGGTCGTTGAAGTCCGAGTAGCAGAGCGGCACACATCCAACTGTCTTTCTCTTCCTCGTTGCCGGAGCGCACGAACGCATGGCGCATGCCAGCCGGGTCTTGCTGGTGCTCTTGCCACGATGATAGCGGCAGGCTACTTGAACGTGGCCAACCTGTCGCGGCAATATGTACACCCGTTGAACAGCCGCATATGTTTTATATAACTAGTTATTTCTAGTTACGAAACGATAGCACAGCAAGATGGATATTAGCAACACCGCAAGCGGTATAAGCTGGGGGGCAGCTTGGAGAACGGTAGCCCTGAACACTGCTACCTAAATCAACTTCAGCTGGTGGCACGTAACTATAATTGACGCTAATCAAGACTGTTTGTTGGCCTAGATGGTACTCGCTTATTGACATACCTTAGCCGTGAAATAACGCGAACACAGAGTAAAGAAACGCAGAACGACAAGAACAGGCGGCACTTCGAACTAAATATAATGAGCGCAAATCCAGAAGTATACAACATACAGACATGCGCAGTTTTCACACAGCTTTACGCTATCAGCTATCAAGCAATCTTTTAGGGGCGAAGCTCCTTAGGGCATGGGCTGTGCGTCCCCTGTAGCCTGTATGTAGCCACCTCTAGTTTAGTTCTTGCAGTGTTCACTAGATGACGGTACCGTCTCCTGTATGTAGCCACCTCTCGTTTAGTTCTTGTAGTGTTTACTAGATGGTGGTACTTGTAGCTGATGATGAAAAGATGCAAGATGTTATAAACTAGAAAGCGGTACTTGTAGTTGATGAAAGACGCGAGATCTTATAAAATAGGAATGATGTCACATATGGCGCGTGTCATTGGTTGAAGGCAATCGTTCGATTTCGTGCGGCGACGTGCGCTAGGGGGAGCGTTGTAATAAAATCCGTTCGCTGTTGGCGCGCGCTCGGAGTCGCCGGATGGATAAGGCTGCAACAGCGGAGAGAGCGCAAGGCGGCAGCAGCGCACGCTCGCAGACAGAATCCCGATGTGCGAGCGCGCGAGGCAGAAGCGCTCCGTGAAGCTGCGCGACGCCGCCGCCAAGATCCTGCCGTACGTGAAAGAGAGGCCGCAGCGGCACGACGCCGCCGCCAAGATCCTGCCGTACGTGAAAGAGAGGCTGCAGCGGCGCGACGCCGCCTCCAAGATCCTGCCGTACGTGAAAGAGAGGCCGCAGCGGGTGCGACGCCGCCGCCTAGATCCTGCCGTACGTGAAAGATGAGGCTGCAGCGGCGCGACGCCGCCGTCAAGATCCTGCCGTACGTGAAAGAGAGGCTGCAGCGGCGCGACGCCGCCGCCTAGATCCTGCCGTACGTGAAAGAGAGGCTGCAGCGGCGCGACGCCGCCGCCAAGATCCTGCCGTACGGGAAAAAGAGGCCGCAGCGGCGCGACGCCGCCGCCTAGATCCTGCCGTACGTGAAGAGAGGATGCAGCGGCGCGACGCCGCCGCCTAGATCCTGCCGTACGTGAAAGAGAGGCTGCAGCGGCGCGACGCCGCCGCCAAGATCCTGCCGTACGTGAAAAAGAGGCCGCAGCGGCGCGACGCCGCCGCCTAGATCCTGCCGTACGTGAAAGAGAGGCTGCAGCGGCGCGACGCCGCCGCCTAGATCCTGCCGTACGTGAAAGAGAGGCTGCAGCGGCGCGACGCCGCCGCCAAGATCCTGCCGTACGTGAAAGAGAGGCCGCAGCGGCGCGACGCCGCCGCCTAGATCCTGCCGTACGTGAAAGAGAGGCTGCAGCGGCGCGACGCCGCCGCCAAGATCCTGCCGTACGTGAAAGAGAGGCTGCAGCGGCGCGACGCCGCCGCCAAGATCCTGCCGTACGTGAAAGAGAGGCTGCAGCGGCGCGACGCCGCCGCCTAGATCCTGCCGTACGTGAAAGAGAGGCTGCAGCGGCGCGACGCCGCCGCCAAGATCCTGCCGTACGTGAAAGAGAGGCTGCAGCGGCGCGACGCCGCCGCCAAGATCCTGCCGTACGTGAAAGAGAGGCTGCAGCGGCGCGACGCCGCCGCCTAGATCACTGCCGTACGTGAAAGAGAGGCCGCAGCGGCGCGACGCCGCCGCCAAGATCCTGCCGTACGTGAAAGAGAGGCTGCAGCGGCGCGACGCCGCCGCCAAGATCCTGCCGTACGTGAAAGAGAGGCTGCAGCGGCGCGACGCCGCCGCCTAGATCCTGCCGTACGTGAAAGAGAGGCTGCAGCGGCGCGACGCCGCCGCCTAGATCCTGCCGTACGTGAAAAAGAGGCCGCAGCGGCACGGCTGCGGCGTGAACAGGACCTGCCGAACGCCACACAACGGGAAGCGGCGAGAAAGCGTGCGTATCGACAGGCGAACCCCGAAGCGAGAGTTCGAGAGGCTTCTGCAAAACGCGCCAAGAAAGAACACGAAGGTGCCGACGCGCGTTTCAAGCGCGACTTCCTGGACGTTTCGTTTGGCCATAGCTGTGTGTGTGTGACAGACTGTGGTTCTCGAACAGTCTAGTCACGATATCTTCCATCAAGAACGACCAGGCTCGGGGTAATGCCATTGCCGTGCTTCGGCGCGAGTTCCCCGCCGACGACGGCGGCAGCAGCAGTGGCGGTGACTACAATGTTTGCTCGAGCTGCAAGAATTCGCTAGTGGCGGGAAAGGTGCCTTCAATGAGCGTATCTTATGGCTACACGTACCCACCCAAACCGGATCACTTGCCGCCTCTGAACCCCGTTGAGGAACGACTGATCGCTCCTCGTCTACCGTTCATGAGCATAAGGCGGTTGACGCACGGAAGCGGACAGTACGGCATCAAGGGGCAAGTGGTTAACGTTCCGATAAACGTCCCCAACACGGTTCAATGCCTACCTCGGAACGTTCCGGACGACGTGGCCATCGACGTTCATCTCAAGCGCCTGCTCGTGTGCAAACCGTCGTATAAGAAAGGTCTCGTTAAGAAACGTAACATCCACGAGTGGCTCAAACACCTCAAGCATTCTCCGTTATACAAGTACCTCAAAATCAAAATTGATTGGAGCCGCCTCGCGAACGTGCAAGACGACGGTGACGTGGACGACGACGAGATCGAGCCGGCGCCAGAGGTTACCGACCTGGAAGAACCTATGCAGGCGGCGATTGCACTCAACGCAATGGCGCATACCATGATCTCTGACGACGGAGCCTGCGTCATCACTAACTGCGTCAACAGCGGCGGCGACGTTGCGGCGGAATCTGTGGCGGGAAAGGTGGCGCATTCTGCAGCTGATGAAATAGGTCTAATCGAAGGTACGCACAGTCTCCACGTGGCACCCGGTGAAGGGCAGACTCCCATCTCTCTGCTCTTTGACGAGTATGCCGAAGAGTTGTCGTTTCCTCAAATATACCTCGGTATACCTCGTAGAATCACCGGACCCAGACCGACCCCCTTCACAAAGGCGAGTAGAAGAATTGAATTCCATGCAACGCGTCGAACTGGTCAATAACGACCCAGTTGCGTGTGCAATTTACACCCATCGAATCTTCAATGTGATTCTCAACATACTCAAAGATAAGAGATGCTCCCCGTTCAAGCCCTATGTTGTGGTAGACTTCTTCAAGCGGGTCGAATTCCAACAGCGTGGTAGCGCACACATTCACACGATTCTGTGGCTCGATAACGCCCCGCAAGAGGAAGTGTCTGGCAACATGCCGCGCACGCTGGAAATGGTCGAATCGTTGCTCACGCTCGACACAGACCTTCTAAAGAGACCCAGGACCCAGCTGCACGCTCATACCCACACTTGCTATAAGCGGAGACGCACCAAGTGCCGTTTCGGAGCACCGTTCATGCCCAGTAATGACACTAGGATTGTAGTCCCCTTTCCTCCGACCGAGGACGAGGCCGAGAAGGCACATCGTCAGAAACTCAAGCAACGGTACGAAAAGATGCACGACGCTTTGGAGAGGGGATCGTTCGTCTTGTTGGAAGACTTTCTCGCCACCTTCGACGTTCAGTCCGACGCAGAATACATGGACATTTTGAGAGCCGGATTTACGCGTCCCTGCGTTCTACATCGTCGCACCCCGGCGCAAAAAATGGTCAATCCCTCCGACCCCTGGATCGCCAAGGTCCTAGATTCCAACATGGATCTTCAGGTGATCCTAGACCACTACGCCTGTGCAACGTATGTCGTCGATTACGTCAACAAGGCGGATCGCGGCATGTCCAACCTACACAAGGCCGTAATGCAAATTGTAGAAGAAAAGCCAGAAATGGAATACTCTGCCATCGTACGCTCTCTGGGAGTGACCATGCTCAAAGGGGTCGAAATGTCCGCGCAAGAGGCGGCCTGGTTCCTCTTGGGTCAGGAAATGTCGGAAAAGAGCCGTGAGGTCGTCTACATACCCGCGTGCTACCCAGAGGAACGAGTGCGCGCACGCAAGACCAACGAGGAATCGGCAAACGTTGGCGCCTCGTCCACCGACGTCTGGAAGCTCAACATCGTCCAGAGGTACGAGGGCAGGCCGCCCGAAATGGAAGACGTTTGCCTTGCCGACTTTGCAAGCAAGTACAAACGCGGATACGGTCTTCGCGAGCACCCCATCATCATCCGCTACCGCCATTACAGTGTCGCAGATCAACCAGAGGATTACATGAGAGAGCAGGTCCTCCTTTACGTACCGTTCAGGAACGAGGCTGTCGACGTTCTCGATCATAACAAATACCTCGAGACGTTCGAGGCCAACAAGGACCTGATTGCTACCAAACATCGCAAATACAACATCGGCAACGACGACGACATCGTGGCTCAGTTGATTGAAGAGCACAGGATACAGCAGCAACGAGAAGAAGATGCGGCCGCCGTTGACGCCGCGGTCGTTGCCGCCGTTCCCGCCGACGAAGACGCCGACCTCTTGCCCAACGAAGACCTGATGCGTGCCGTCAGACACCAGTCCCTGTGCTGCCGTGCGCAAAAGGCAAGACGTCATGGATAGAGAGGAATATACCAGACTCATGCGCATGATGAATGCGGAGCAGTACGAGTTGCTCCGAGAAATCATCCACAGGCAAACGACACTCGGAGCACTTCCGTTGCGCGTCTTCTTGACAGGACCTGCGGGATGCGGTAAAACGTTTGTCCTAAAGCTCGTCATGGACGTTTACAACCGCTATAACGATAATGCAGGTCCATACAATGCATTCGTCATTTGCGCGAGCACGGGAAAGGCGGCCGTGGCTGTAGGCGGAACCACCGTGCACTCTGCCTTCAAACTCACTCGCAACAAGAAGGACCTCGGATTGGGCGACAGCGAACTGAATACCTTACGAGTTGCTTTCCGTTACGTCAAGTGCATCATCGTTGACGAGGTTAGCATGCTGTCGTCTGATAACCTCAATGCCATCGATTGTCGCCTCAAGCAAATCACCCAAAAGCTAGACGAACCCTTCGGAGGCCTCGACGTCATCATGTGCGGTGATTTGCGCCAGTTACCACCCGTCCGCGCAAACGAGGTGTACAAGAGGTGCAGAGAAGCGGGTGGGCTCTTCGGGGCCACAATCAAATGGCACTACCTCGATTACTTTCCGCTCGTCCTAGTCGTCAGACAATCCGATGCCTCCTTCTCGGCTCTGCTCACAAAGATTGGAGACGGAAGAGCACTTCAGGACGATGAGGTCCGACTACTGGAGAGCTGCTTCGTCACCACAGAAGAAGTCTTGGTTCGTGCGTCCTCGGCGATACGACTCTTCTACTCCAACGAAGAGGTCAACAAATTCAATACTTTCATTGCACAGCGAGGAGGAGAGAAGTCGTTTCACTGCAAGCCGAAGATACCTACCTGGGGTGCGCCAACCAAGACGCTCTAAACAAGGCAATCGCAAAAGTTGAGAAAATGTCACACACCGAGTTTGCAAACTTCCCTCGCGAAATTCTCATCGTCCTCGGCAAACCGTACATGATTACCACCAACATTGACGTCATAGACGGTCTCGTCAATGGGGCCGTTGGCATTCTCAAGGTGTGCGAGAGAGCGGTAAACGACGGCGACTTGCCGAAACGCCTCTGGTTACACTTTGACGACGCCACAACCACGGGTAAGCTTACTCGTCTTCGGTCCAAGCGAATGGTGAATGAGGCCAAGCGGAGTGATCACGTCATCGACGCCTTCTGGGTCCCCATCGAACCTCGTGTTACCACCCTAACCTTGGATCGCAAGACTGGCGTTGCCTGCAAGAGAAGGCAGTTCCCCCTCGTTCAGGCCAGTGCCATTACGGTCCACAAGTCCCAAGGGAGAACGTACTCGTCAATTGTCTATGAATATAATAAAACGCACCCCCAGAAGTTTGTGTACGTCGCGCTCAGTCGCTGCACCAACTTAAATAACCTCTACCTCACCAATGCAAAAGGAGACCAGCGGTTCTACCATAAAGACAAGAACGAGGACACGGCGATGCTGAACGAGTTTCAACGTCTAGGCCGACATCGATTACCGACCGTGACGCAGCAGTATCAAGGATCTCTGCGAGAAGACGTTGACTCTTTCAACGAGTTTACCATTGCCCTCCTCAACGTTCGCTCTCTCAATGCCCACGCACTTGACATAGAAAGGGACCCCATACTGACCGCAGTCGACGTGCTGTGCTTTACCGAGACGTGGAACGTGACGAGATTGTTCATCAAAGGATACGTTCCCGTCGTGTGTACCGATGAATCAGAACGTCCTGCAGGTGGTGTCGCCATCTACGTGAGGCAAACGGAAAGGGCTGAAGATCTCAGACTACCACTCATGAGTCAAAGCCAAAACGGAGAATATGCAGCCATCAAACTCTTTGACTCTGGAATCGTCCTCATGACCATGTACCTCGCACCCAACCTGTCGACCGGGAACATCAAGACATTCATAGACACTGCGTTACGAAATTATGAGAACAAATACAAGAATGGACCATTTGTACTACTTGGAGACTTTAACGTGGCTATCATAGACAATAATTGGCTTATCCAACATATGGCTTCTAGATATGCACTCAGACGTATATCGTTTGACCATATGAAACCTACCACGATCCGAGGAACATGCATAGACCTAGTATTTGCAAATTGCCCACTGCAACCCATACAGGAACCGCTCTCCCTTCATTTCACAGACCATAAAGCCGTCATAATGAAGGGACATCGCAAGCCATCCATCGTCTAAGAACAAATAAAAGTTGATTTGTGTATATACACACACAGCGTTTCTCACGTCTTTACATGATGATCGACTGGGCGAATTACACGGAAGATTCACAGTTTACCGATGAATCCCTCCGGAGCTTCGCCCATTCATCATCATTCACCCCATGAATATGCCGTAATTTTTTTTTCGATACCATTCTGCTTGCCCCGCTGCGGTGGTCTAGTGGCTAAGGTACTCTACTGCTTATCCGCAGGTCACGGGATCGAACACGGCTGTGGCGGCTGCATTTTCAATGAAGTTGGAAATGTAGTAGGCCCGTGTGCTCAGATTTCGGTGCCCGTTAAAGAACCCCAGGTGGTCGAAATTTCCGGAGCCCACCACTACGGCGTCTCTCATAATCATATGGTGGTTTTGGCTCGTTAAGCCCCCATATCAATCAATCGAAACCATTTTGCTTTCTTTTTATGTCATAGGCTTGCCCCGCTGCTGTGGTCTAGCGGCTAAGGTACTCGGCTGCTGACCCGCAGGTCACGGGACCGGATCCTGGCTGCCGCGGAAATGCTTGATGGAAGCGAAAATGCTGTAGGCCCGCGTGGTCGGATTTGGGTGCACGTTATAGAACCCCAGGTGGTTGAATTTTCCGGAGTCCTCCACCACGGCATCTCATATATTTATATGATTTTTTGGGACATCAAACCCCACGTATCAAATCAATGCCATAGGTTTCCATCAACTCAAGCGCAGTTTGATACCTGCCTAGAATCTTGATCTCTTTAAAACGTGATCAACACTTCTAAATTTTGCAATAGGATAGACAAATGCGCCAAGTAATTTTTCATTATATTTATTTCATGCTCTCTGGCTCCTTGATAGAGTGCTGTTGCGAAGCGCGCCTCCGACGACGTTACGAAGGGCGCCATGAATCCCACCGCTGCCACCACAGTTACGAAAGACGGCGACGCCAACATGGTCCCGAAGGCGCCACTGCTTCCAATTCCGCCGAGAATGTCACCAGCCATTGGTAGCGTAGGTTTCTTAGCTCGCGACTGCTTCTGCGCAGAGCTGATGGACGAGCGGACGAGACGATGGTGAGTTAAACAAGGTTTATGTACAGCATATATACTGAGGCGTTACAAATTCGGCACTGGGGCCGCCAGCTTAGAGACCCGATGAGCCGAGCTCTCCTCTCTAACACATAGGACTACTGCTCGCGAAGCGCGGCAGGGCTTTTTTTATATGCACCGGGTGGATTCTTTGAGTAACCAAATGTCCAACCAGAAGTGCCGCTGGTCGTGAGATCAGAATCCTCCAAAGGGGTCGCCGCTGGGCCGCGTCATTCTCATCGAATCTGGAGCCGCTGCGCTGCACGTGGCTGCACCCAAGCACGAGTGACGTCGCCACGCATTGCGTCAGACTCGCCAGACAGGAAGGCGCCGATTGCTTCGACGGGCTCGCTGCCTGAGGTGACTCACTGTGCGTGCGCGGCAGAAAAGCACCGTCGCGTGATGACGCCATTGAGTTGTTCGCATCAGGCGGGCTCGCGTCCTTGTTTTGACACAGATGGCCTTTTTCAGAGGCATGGACGTTCGCTGTGGACTCGCAGGCATAACAGCACCCCCGCCGCCAGACAATGCGCCGGAAAGACGAGCTGCTTCCACGTGGCTTGGATGTCAGGCGCGCTCGTTCGCCATGTCCCTCCAGGTTCACCTCCAGGGCCATGGGGAGAATGCAGCTCCAGACTCGTTCCGGGAACACATCCCATTCTTGAGGACGGATCCCAGCTCCACTGGCTTGTCGCCACAACTTGTCAGCCAGCTTCGCTAGTCTCTTCTGACGATTTTTGGTCTCAGAAATTGTTGATGGTTCTGCAACTTGTCAAGAACGGTTCGACAACAGACAACACACGACACAAGCAAGTGCCCTCGGTCACCCGACAGAACACCAGACAAAGTATATTGCGACATATACCTAGCTGCGTGTCTATCGGAATTTCGTTCCCTCTACATCAAGAGACATATGCGGCACACAAGACTCTTAAAATGAGAACTCAAATTTTCACACGTACAACAACGTAACGAAATAGAATACAACATTAGTTGGCTCCTTGAGCTCACTCTGGATAAGAGCGCTCAGCTAAGGTCGCGATGAGGTCAAAATTTTGCTCCGAATCGCCAGCGAGAAACCGAAAGGGGGAAAATGTACTAACTAAACGCACAGCTCAATGCGTCTGCATTAGCATTTAGCTTTTTTTTTTTGTAGCGAATGTCAAAGTTGTGCTGTTGGAGCATCATGCTTCATCTCGGTAACCGGCCACTTTTAGGCGACGATACCTATGCGGTACCAAGAGCGGCTCATGCTTGCGACGTTGCCCAGGTGTGTAACTACAATATAGGAGTCCAGATTTCTCATAAAAAGAAACATTCCTTCTCAGGTCCTCCTTCTGGACTTCACTTAACCAATTCTCTAGGTTGAACTGCTCCAAGATTTCTGCTCCCTCTTCCTCGGAAGCATTCCACAGCAGATATACGACCGCTTGACGTTGAACACATGGTTCCATCAAGTTGCTGTGGTAAATTTTGTTCGGCCGCCTTCCTAATTTCACTTCATAATTGCTATCAGAAAGCTTCGATATTACTTTGGCGGGCCCCTCCCAATGAACCTCGAGCTTGTTGTTTTTGGACGGCCGCAGCTGCATTACCTGACTTCCTACTTCAACAGCGCGCTTCTTCACCGATTTGTCGTAGTACTCCTTCGACAACATTTGTGCAGCTTTCATGTGGCTTTCCACTAGCGCTTTGATCGGGAGGTCCTCACGTTGCTCTCGAATGAGCGTCTCTCGATCAACCCTCGATAGCTCGCTCCAACTCTCCAACTTTCCGCTACAGGCGAGAGCGTTGCACCCCTCTCGCTCTGACTCAATGGCGCCATGTCGTCTCCCCCTGCTACGGAAACCGCGCTGGTCGCTTCGGCGACGAGCCGCACGAGTGACTGCTCCTATGACTCACACGGAGAATTTCCTTTCTGAGGTTCCGTCGACTCGCCGCCAAGGTCACTTGATAGTTTACCACATTGAACAAAATCAAGCTCCTGCGAAAGCTTCCACGCTTGTGATCGCTTGAGGGCCATGTATTCTAAGTTGAGAAGACGATTTACCCTGCCCTTTGAGAAGCTGCTCTGAGTTGTTAGAGAAAACATAAGGAAAACGATCGCGAAGCGCGAGAGACACAGCCGCTTCGGTGCGAAGCTTGCCCAACGGGCCTTCAATGACAACCGTAGCGATTGGTAAGCAAGCACTCTGCTCCGCGGCGGCTTGCCTGATCTACGCGCATTCTCTTGTAAAGTGATCCGGAGACACCAACGAAGGATGGACAACGTCCATGGTTGCCGCTGAGTCTCCAAGTGCTCGACAGGTTTCCCATTCACACTAATTTCTTGGAGATATGGCTCTAACAACCGCATGTTCTTTTCCGATTCTCAGATTGTTGCAAAAGCAAACTTTTGCTTACACTTTATCGCGATGTGCCCTTCCTTTTTGCAGTTGTAACGGATTTGTGGCTTTCGTTTGTTTTCCGATTCTCGGATAGTTGCAAACTTTTGCTTAGAGTTAATCGCGATCTGCCCTTCCTTTCTGCAGTTGTAGCAAATTCGCGGCTTCCGTTGATCAGGTTTCTTTGAAAAGCCCTCTTT